TGTTTACAAAAGAAGTTATTCACCAAGTAAATTCTCATACTATTGCCCACACTGCCATAGCTCGTGATCTTGGGTGGATCTACATTCCAAGTTTCAGCTTTCTAGCTCTTCAATGATTGATTTATGATTTCTGGCCACGCGGATTGGGAATATTTTAACACTTTACAAAGCGGAGATATACAAGAGTCTGTGTTCCAAATTTCAAGCCTCTTTAGCTTCAATTGCGGCAAAAAAATGGCGTATGGTATGGTAATGGTACTAGACGAACTCCGCTGCGAAGGTTGATGACTTTTGCTACCATATCCTCTGTAAAAATGTACTTTATCAACATTTATAAGCGGCTTACCCTCGACATATTAATTAATGCCACAGATAAATATATATGCTTAACCAAAACAAATAAATCAATAATGGTACTAGACGAACTCCGCTGCGAAGGTTGATGACTTTTGCTACCATATCCTCTGTAAAAATGTACTTTATCAACATTTATAAGCGGCTTACCCTCGACATATTAATTAATGCCACAGATAAATATATATGCTTAACCAAAACAAATAAATAAATAAAACTCCTATACACAATATACCGATAAGCGAATTGAACATAAACTAGAATTTAGTAAAATACAAATTAAATGCGCTAGATAGATAAGAATTTAAATACAGTATTTATACACTCACAGGGAAAAAGCCAATCTCCGACCGGAAATTTAGCACGTATCTCGATCTTTCCATATTTAAATAGGATTGTTTTCTTAGTTGTTATTGCTGCTGAGTGCACAGGTGGCAGAATCGTGTTAATGCCAAATTGATAAGGTCCACACAATAATTTTCTATGATAATCTTTCTCATACGTACATTCGGTATAATTAAAAACTGTTTCTCTTTTTTTTTTCGGCAGACTTGCATGTAAATATAATATGTTATTTTCTAGATAGATGTTTTTTTTATCTTTCCTAAATGCCACAAATTCCACATGGTTTGTGTATAACCGTGAGTACTGAACATGAGTCCAATTTGATGACAACTTGTTGTTACTGAAAGTTTCCTGAAAAATGAGTTGACCACTACACACTGGCTGTAATTTATCTGAGTCAGATTCTGCCAGAAAACAATTTAACTTTTTATCGTATTTAGGCTTGTCGCATGTTTCCATATTATTGAAATCTATAATGTGATTTTGGCCATGACCATTGGCATCAATTTTAAAATTGTTAATTGCTGTTAAGACTGCGTCTTCTGTTTCAATTATCCTCAGCACCCGCAACGAATCATTTTTGCTTGATTTCTGATTGCCTTTTAGTATAATGCTTAACGCTTCACTCTTGTTGAAATAGTGATATTCCGCGATACATCCGTTCCCGTTTTCAGTTAAAATAAACATTGACTTGACATCTAGATCATCTGCGTTTTCTCATTTTATAATGTTGTAAATTTATCAAATATTATTGAACGGATCATATCACAGTAATAAAAATTTCTTACATACCGGACACTGAGACAACATTTACATCTTGTTTATGTATAGCAGTAGTGCTAAAGCAATTGAGAATGAAACAGTTCAAAAAAAAACAATATTTCAAATTCATTTCAAAAATGCCTTGACTGTCTTTTTAAATATAAATTCAACGGTATATATTGTTGACTCCAAAAGGCACTGATTGACGCTCAAGTCGACCTAACAAGTGCTTTGATTTCACTAGATCATAGACTGTTTAAACTGCTGATTAAATATACAGATTCTGAATATTCAAATCGCCAGATTCGCTGTAACAGTCGACTCTATGCGGTCGATGCCATACGATGTGCTGTTGAACTATAGGCGAATGATTAAAAACAAAACAACCAATCATAAAATTTACACATCTTTTGCTAATGATATTTATATTTTATAAAATGCAAATTAAATATGTGATGTTCATTTCTTGCTTTCTTGGTATTCTCTACGCCGAAGGAAAAAAAGATATATTGGTGAATGTAAAAGGCAGTGAAATAACGATTACAGTACCAAGTAGTATGTATATATTATATGAGTTTTAATATTTCAAAAAATTACAATTGTCACTTCTTTAAAGGTGACTGTAAAGTGAAGAATTGTTTTTTTTCAACAGAAATCGAGAAAGGGTGTATCTCGGATTATGTATTCGTCCACAGCCGAGATAAAAATGGAACATTGGATTTTGTGATAAATGTAAAAAGACCACTTCTTGCAGATGATCTGCTCCGAATTTTCGGTGTTTTCGAAACTGATAACGAAGTAATAACTGAAGTTTACGACTTATTTATTGATAGCCATGGAAATGGAAAAAACATAAATGATCCAATTTTCAAAGAAGATTTTGATCAGACTTTTTCCCAGTGGACACATGAGATAAGGTCTCGTATGAATGATCCCGAAAACGATAGTGAATTCGTGGCTTTTTTAAATAATACAAATACTAATTACATAAAGGATGGATATTTGAACATTGTAGCAACATGGGCTAATTACACGAACAATTTACCATTTGCTGTAGATGGGTGCACATCCAGAAAAGTTAATCCATCTCGGAAAAAAGATTGTGGGCCACAAATTCCACTTCAATATAAGTTACCTCCTGTGCACTCAGCAAAACTACATACTTTTGGAAAGTTTCAATTCAAATATGGTAGAGTAGAAATACGTGCAAGGATGCCGATAGGCGATTGGTTATATCCATGTGAGTATGACTAGAGCTGGGACCTAGAGATAAACTAGAATGGATTAACATTTCTTAATAAATTTACTCTTAGATTTGATATTGCAACCGATAAAATACCGAAGTGAAGAAAATTTTGTCAATCAATTGCGTATTGCATTTACACGCAGCAATGCACTATTGCAAAATAATGAATCAATTCCTATTAGTAGAGACCGACTCTTTGGAAGCGCTGTTCTTTGGAAATCAGGAAAATTTTCGGAATATGTTCATTTCAAGAAATACTCAACATACAATCCACTAAGTAATGATTTTCACAACTACACTTTGATTTGGCACAAAGATCACATTACTTACAAGGTAGATAATAATACTTACGGCACGATTACAAATTCAACAGTTCTTAACGCGTTTAATTCAGAGGTAAGCTAAACATTGTGATGCCAGAAAAGTATTAAAAGAAAAGTATATACATACATATGCATGTATGTACATATGTATGTATGTATATACTGATATTACTTTTTATTAACCAAAAAGTTCTAATTTTGTGTTAGAAAATTACCTGATATTTTTTAATTATTGTAAAATCATATTTATTATTTTTAGTGTTATATTGTATTGGGTCTGTCAGCAGCCGGAAATGTTAATTTCCCAGATGAAACTATTATGTTTAAACATAAACGGTTTTTAAATAACGATCCTATGGGGCCATATCAATTTGAAAAGTTTACTGATAAGAAAACGTGGACACAACCCAACCTTCTGATAGACTCCGTTTACGTTTACAAGACTCACGGAACTGATGAATAAAAGTCATGATTTTCTAAATGTATTGATGTATATTCAATTGAGATAATAACAAGGGTCAATAAATGACAGAAACACCATGTTAGAAAGTTTTCCCATTATTCTTTTTGGATCCGTTGTTTCGAGAATTCTGCGTCGACTTCTTTTTACGCTTATCTGACGACCAATCCACATCATCTTCGTCATCGGTACCGCCTGTATTGCCACTGGACTGAAGGTATGTTGAAGTTGAGGAAGAGCTAGCACTAGCACCCTCTTTAGTTGCCAACCGCCGACTAGCAATACGAGAAGAAATGCGTCCCATGCCCATGCATTTTTCCAAGTGTGGTGCAAATCGGGCCGCCGCCACTAACCTGTCACAATGTGGACAGGTACAGTCCATTGGTTTTTTTGCAGTTGATATGCCGAATATATCTAAGTTTGGCATTTCACAAATTCTGTAAGCAGACTCTGCATTTTCTTCCCCGACTCCGTCAAGAGCCGTCAGATTGCCTGTCTTCCGCAAATGATGAATTTCTATGAATATTCCCGCTACAACATCATCCAGAAGCCCCTGAAATAAGTAGTTTGCAGCATCCTCTAATCCCTTTGGTTCCTTGAGAAGTTCTCGAAAATTTAATGATATGGCTGAAACAGTTAAATGGCCCTGCGTTGTCGCCATTTGAGATACACTTCCAGATGAACTCAAATGCGTTTGAGCGATTACATACGTTGGATAGTATCTTGTGTAAATCTTTTGCCATATACTAAATGATTGAGTGGTGTGTGTAATGTTCACGTTACAAAATAATTCATTAAAAGAAGCAGGCAGTGGGGACTAGAAAATTAGGAATACAAAAATCGACTCAGTGTTATATGAGTAAAATTATTGACAAGAGCGCATACTTAAACTATCGATATGAAAGTCAGATGAGCAATAGATATATTTATATAAAAAATTATTTTGTATCTTTTATTTATTAAAGTAATAATGACATGCTATTTTTAATTATAAAATTAAATATGTCCATCCATTAACATCGATGTTTTCATTAAAATTTAAATTACTACCATTTGTGGTGGAAGCTATCAAAACGATATGTCGTATTCGATGATTCAGCAGCCCTTCCTGATTTTGGCAAAACATCTACATACATTGCATGTACATACATACATTTCACATACATATGTATTATGTATAATTAAAATGACGCTTAAAAAATATGAGACTTACAAATATTTAACAGAGAAAATTTACACTAAATGTCTGCAAATACAAACAGAAAATGAACGCAGCATTATGAGGTAAGAATAGCCACCGACATATGTATGTATGTATTATTTAGAAATTTGAATTCGGACGCTAAACATTACAGAGTAAATGAAATAAAAAAGTTACTACGCCGACGAGCATACGAGGTGATGTTATTGAAACGTAAACTGGACAAACATGGTGATAATTGGCGTTCGATGCCAATCGTGGTACCAAAACCGAAGGGAAAGCCTGAGCAAAAACGCCGAGGACCAAAACCTAAAAGTAAATCGTCAGCATCTAATGCAGCAGCCGAGGTCCAAGATCCTGCATTTCGCAAGCCCAGAAAACAGCGTATGAAACCCCAATCAAATAGTCAAGTACAGGCAAAATAACTATAACATCATAGTTTCTAAGAATTGTGTTTCTGCTATAGTAATTACAATAATTTGGGTACTTATAGAAATAAAAACAAACTTAAGGATTATGTATATTGATTTGAAGTGTTTTGAAATCCGAAGCTACTCAGCTTGTCGCAAACGTGCAAGGCGCTGTGTTAACTCATCCTGTTCTTGTGAGATTTGAGTGGAGGCACCAATGGTAGAACTTTGCACACCGCTGGGCAGCTCCATATTAAGATCGAGACCTGCTTCGTCAGCAACTTGCTGCAATAAATTATCAACATCTCCTTGTGGCACCGACGTAGTCACAGTATCGGACATAGTCCCCTCCATTACTGAGCTTTGTACATCCAAGTCTTCAAATTGTGATTCGAACTTTTCCATAAGTGACGAAATTTTTTCTAGATTCATGCCTTTCATGGCAGCATCCATGGCCTTAACTACGCCAGCCATTGAGCTAGTAACTTTGCGTGTTGTCAACGCAGATTGCACGCGACTGGCAACAGCATCTACGCGAGCGCTCATCCTCAGGTAATTTACGGCCTGATTCTTTTGTCTTATAGCATTTTCAGCATGAATGCGAGCGACATCCATATTACCCTTTTGTATGGCTTTTTTAGCCTTTGCCTTTTCTAGCTTTTCTTCTTTTTCGCACTTTTTCGAATTGCGCTCTAGATCTTTCACAGCGAACTTCAAATTAAAAAGATGTTCTATATAATATATGGGTGTGGATTATTTAGGAGTAATAGTTAACGACGTGATTATTATACTTACTTTCCATTGCAGATGTCGACATGTCGTTACCCAGTTTGAAGCCTTTAGTCCGGATGCTACCAAAAATATTTTATGTTTAATAATTTTCGTTACAGTGAATTCTACTAGCTAAATGTATGAATCACTTGTTAGTAGAGGTGGAGAACAATCGATCGAACCTTCGAGCTTTCAATATATCGATGGTCAAATGACGCGATGGTTATTGATAGTGTCGTCAATATTTTTGAGTTTCACCACTGACCAAACAACACATAGATGCGACATGTAGAAAAAATTTTTCTACAGCTCGAAAGGTTGATCGACCACTATACTTCGTATTTGCGCCACTCGGTCGCTGGAGGTACGAGCAGTGAAAATACTGCACAACAAAAACAGTGCGCTGTGAGCTAGTGCTGCAAAACCATCGATGGACCGTCCATCGATTTTGTTTGAGTCCGATGGATTAAAATATCGATAGTATCGATGGTTCCATCGAAAATAGGTCCATCATTCAAAAATAGTTAAAGATTCATAGAAAAAAGAATCAACTTTATAAACACTTATACCTAGTAAGTTCAAAACAATTCACGATTTTTCCTCTTAATTCATAAATATAATATTTGTATTCCAGTTCATCACAAAATAGTCTATCCTGAAACTAAACTTTGGTTCAAAAATATTTTATAACTATAAAATAAAAAGTTCGACTGTAATTAACAAGTCCTAAAATTTAACTTAAAATTAAAAAACAAAGCTTGACTATCTTTCACAAAAGTCTTGAGCTGAGATCCATTGTGTAGTCAATTATTGTGCTTTAAGAACATTAGCATATCGACAGCATTTAGCTAAAGACTGCTTCGTTTCTGCTGTGCGCAGTAATTTCTCCAGCCACTCCAGCCTTGCTGAAAATACGAATTATCGACATCGAGAAAATTCCATCGATCTATCTAACAAAAGAAAGTCCATCGTATCGATAGTATCTATCGATATTTCCATCGATGGATTTGCAGCACTACTGTGAGCGCTCAATCGAAATGGTCCCAATTCCGTATGAACCACAGCTGTGAGCCATTTTTTCTACTCTCTCTCTCTCTCAGTCCCTCTCTCTCGCTCTCTATGGTCGCTGAAATCATCACT